GCATTTTAAAATAATAAATTGTTTTTACATTTTAAAACCATCAAAACTCGCCCCGTGCACACACCTATGATAGGAACCAAATGTTATGTTTGAAACTATATGTTTTAAGTAAGAGCATAGCCTTTATAAGTGCACTTTATATAAATAGAATATAATGAATAAAAGAACTTAATGGGAAGTGGTTACTATATACTAGAGATGTTTCGTTCGCGAACGAACGGATCTTATTGAACGGTTCAAAGCAGTGAACAAGTGATCCAGATCGCCAAACTGAGGTGATTCGGATCACTGATATTTTTTTTCCGTATTGGTTCACACTGAGTCCCGAATCACCGAATCATATTATTATTATACTATTATATTATTATTCATGTCACGAACGACGCGGACCGTTTGGGAACCACAACAATAGAACATAATATTCCCGTTCAATGATTCTGATTCAATGTATGCTCAAAATAACCTATCAGATCGCGAACGGGTCTTTGAACCGGATCTTCTTGATGACCTGATCTGAATGAATCAGATCACTTAAATGAACCATAATTCTCGTCTCTACTATATACCAATTGCGCCAATTTTTTCTTTTGATATTAACTCCTCGGAAGGAAATTGTAATTACCCTACTGGATGCCACTGTTATGTTAGTGCAAAATAAATTTGAATTTATAATAATTTTTAGCATTCAATAATTTCTAATATTTTAAATTAATTATAAATTCCATAAATATTTTATGGTACCTACAATTCTAAATATAATATTATACAGAGTGTCCAGCGAGGATTTACCCATTGTGATATCTCACGAAATAATGGAGATATCAAAATTCTGGGTTCGTAATAAAACTTATGGGGATAAGAACTAGAATTATCTCATTTTAAAATTTTTTTCAATGTTTTGTTAAAAAATATATGTTTTTGTTTAATTATTTCCAAAAAAATTGACTAGAGCCATTTTGTAGACTTTTTTTTTTGAAAACTTTAATGTTTCAAAATTTTATTTTCATTAATTTCCTGATTTTTAATACTTTTTCTAGTTTTGAAGAAATAAAATATGATTATAACTATAATAGGCACAGAGAAATTGTTCGGCCAGCCTTATGAGAATGTGCGCGTGCAGCAGGTCACATATTTGATAACACACGTGTTAAATAATTTGCAATTTTTTTCAAACTAAAAAAAAATAAAAATCAGTAAACTAATGAGAAAAAAATTTTGAAACGTCAATATTTTCGGAAAAATAAACTCTACAAAATGGCTAAAGTAAATTTTTTTGAAAATAATTGAATAAAAAATATATATTTTATAAACTATTTTACTAAAAAAATAAAATATGAAATAATTGTAGTTCTTATCCCTGTAAGTCTTATTACAAAACCAGAATTTCAATATCTCTATTGTTTCAGGAGATATCCCAGAACAATAAATCACAGTAAAATTTGAWTGCCACAAGTTTAATAAATTTGAATATCTATCGCTATGAATATTAATGAAATAATTTTCAAATGACTGTTAGTATGTTGACTGTCATAATAATTTATGTTTTGTAAATTGGACTCGACCTATCAAATTAAATAGAGTGATTTGCATGTGCTGTTGAAAATAATTATCAATTTTTAACARTGTTAAGGCTATTAACAATTTTTAAGTATTATTAAAAAAAAAMCAGATAAACAATACATACTCATTTTAGGTACCGGTTGTGTATACCAAAAACGATATTGTTTATGCAAAGCTTCTTCAGGAGTTTTAGCTGCTCTCTGTTGAAGTGAGAAAACTTCCATTGCTTTTTGAATATCCTGCAAAAAATAAGTAGTTTTGAATAGAAAAAGGTTTTGTGAATAGATTTTATCAAATTAATTATTTGCAACTATCTAAAAAAAATTAATTAAAACTGTCATTTTATTTCTTGTGACTATTGGTAGGTAATAATATAAAATTATGATTTATAAAATAAATATGATCATATAAAACAATWAAAATGAAATAATTCAAGCATTTGATTTAGATTATTAATAGGTTGACTGCGACGTGGCACCTGTGACTGGCAGGCAGACAATAAATATTATTAATACGCCAAGCATATTGTTCCATGTCGTTTTAAATTTGTACAAACTATTCTACTTGGAAAACATTTAAAAATATAAAAATAAATAAAAATAATAGAATTGTTAGATTAAAAAATGTTTGATGATTTCCACAATACCACTGTGCTCTAATGAGTGTATTTGTAGCAACATGGAAAAGTTAATAATGTAAAACCATGTTCATCTACCACCTGTCCATATGACATGGTAGTAATGATGTAAAGTATTTGGGCGCTGGTGATCACTGATCACAAAAGTAAAAAACTTGAAAATTACAGATGAACAACGACAAACACATGGCAGTCAATGYGTTAATAGGATGCTACACACATATTTATTGTCTTAAAAGTGCAGAACATAACATATTTATGATTAGCAGATTACGTTTAGTCCCGTTAGTTTAAAAATTAGAGTAAATTTACTTATTATGAAACTTGATGATATAAACATTATCAGTATTAGTATGTGGGTTTTTTTTACAATAAATTAGTTTTTAAGTGAGTAATGAGCATTTTTAATAAACGGTTTTTTAAATATGCATAACTTGGTACAAAATTGAACTATCATAAAAATCCCACACACAAACACAGATAATGTTCTTACCATTAAGTTTCATTATAGATCAATTTACTCCAATTTTTAAACTAACAGAGCTAAACTTGATCTGCTAATTGTAAATTTTCTATGTTGCACACTTGTTATATGGAGACCGCAAATATGTGTAGTGCCCTCTAAAGAGGACATGATACCCGCATGTGTTGTCTCCCTTTTACTAGTGCATAACATAGCAATTTTTATACTCAGTCGAACACGTGTAGTTTGTAGAATACGTTTAAAATTTAGAGTGAATTGACCTCTGATCAAGTTTAAAGGTATGATTATTATCTAGACAATCTCATAGGCTTTTTATCAAATTTTTATTTTAAAGCAAGTTATGAGTATTATGAAATTTTAAATAGTTTTTCYATCTTAAAATACTAATAATTTCTTTAGAATAAAAATTWAATAAAAAGCCTATGACGTTCTCTAGATAATAATCTTACCTTTAAATTTTATTAGAGGTCAATTCACTCTAAATTTT